GTAGACATCTGTATACATACTGTAGACACCCTGTAGACCTATCGGTAGTCACCTGGTTTCTTAGGATGTATACCGCGTGTCTACAACGGTGTCTACAGGTAGTCTACGGATGTCTACGCTGTATACAGGTAGCCCTTCTTAGGTTCAGCTCGATACTCTGCCTGTATACACCGGTAGTCATCTGTAGACAGCCCGTAGACACCGCTGTAGACACTGTAGTCACCTGGTTTCTTAGGCTTTTATGGATGTTTACAGGGTGTCTACAGGTTGTCTACAGGGTGTCTACAGATGTCTACCGGTGTATACAGGCAGGCCTTCCTAGGTTCAGCTGGATGTTCTGCTGTATACATCTGTAGACGCACTGTAGACAGCGCGTAAACACCCCTGTAGACATACTGTAGTCACCTGGTTTCTTAGGTTTCTTAGGTTATCTTAGGTTTTCTTAGGATATATACAGCTTGTCTACAGGCTGTCCACAGGATGTCTACAGGATATCTACAGGATGTCTACATGTCTACCGCTGTATACAGGTAGCCCTTTTTAGCATCAGCTCGATACTCCGCCTGTATACACCGGTAGTCACTTGTAGACAGCCCGTAGACACTACTGTAGACATACTGTAGTCACCTGGTTTCTTAGGTTTTCTTAGGGTGTATACAGGTTGTCTACAGGGAGTCTACAGGTTGTCTACGGATGACTACAGTGACTACAAGAAGGAAAAAAACGTTCCAGTTTTTTTCTTTGGTACGAAACGTTCCATATATAAAATTCCTGTTGATAAACTACTTCAACCCGAGAAGACACGAACAAGTATGTACGGTCAGTACGGGTACCAACCGATCAATCTGGCCGGCTGGTTAAATTATGTGCTTCAATCATTTTTTTTAGTGCACGAGAATAAGTTTCCAATATACAGATCCAATATCTGTAATGTAATTAACCAGTGCATCTTATTCGGGTTCTAATTCGGTGAAATCTCATTTCTATTAGAAAGTTATTTATTACCTTAGTATGCGTAAATATCAATCTCATCGATACAGGTCAATAAGTTTAGCAAAATGTAGCTGAAAAAGACTGTTGTATATCAAGGAAAAGAGCTAAATTACAACGGAAAACCCCGTACGATCCTGCTAGAAATAACCACAAAACAAAACGAAAACCGCTAATGCCATTCGACTGGGCATGTCTGGAAACTGTGTCACATGCATTTTGATTTCAAAAAAATTCTTCCGGTATCGAAACCGGCATCCGTACAACAGGAAATTCAAGGTGACCTTGGACAAAACCATTAAAAAATGCAAGTTGCTTAGAACTACAAAGAAAATAATAACAAACCTAATATCAATTTTCAAGTTCACACAGCTTTGCCGGTTTTTGGTACCAAAACGTTAATAAAATGCCGAAAAGGAAAAACCTTTTCAGTAAAGAAACATTCTTACGCGGAAGAAAGCGGAATACCATCAAGGCAGCCGAGTATAGGCAGATTTTTGTGAAGATGTCAGACCAAACGCTAAAGCTCGCCACAAAACTGGAAGCGGAAATGAGGCCACAAATTTCCGCAACAAAAATACTCAGTTCTTACGGAAAATCAATACTAACCTACACTTTTAAATCCTGCGACCGCTGTTCTGCTGATTGTCTAACCATAGAAAAAAATGTATCATTATGCTGCAATAAGTATGGAAAACATCCAGAAAAGGTAATAGATCTTCCGGAAATACCGAGCCGCTACCCCAAATTCGCACAGAAGTCAATTGATTTTCAAAAGCACTGTCGGAAGTACAACAACTACTTCGCCCTATCGGAAACCGGATATACCGGACAGTTCAAACCGGTCATGCAAGGATTGTCAAGCCTCATCTTGATGAACGGAAAATTTTATCGCCGAATGCTTAGTGGTAAATTAAATATAAATTACAATTACTAATTACAAATCTTTAAATTAAAATAAATTATGTGAAATAACCTAAGTTAATAAGTGTACTATTAATTGTAATTTAAATTATTATTAAAGGAAAAATTATTATTTAGTAAATTATTAAGAATTACTGGAAACGACAAACGTGGTCCTTTACGTTTTTTTGTCCACGATCAAAGTTTCCTGCAAGAAGACATGAAACAGTTTTAACTATCCAAAACGACTATCGAAATTATAAAGAAAATTTTGAACGATCGTAATTCAGTCTGGAAGCAGTTTAAGCGGTTGTCCGATCACTGTTCCGAAGAAGCAAGACTGGAACTACATGAAACGCCATCCAATGAAATAGCTGCAATAATTGTTGCCGATAAAACCCAACCACTGCAAGAACGAGCAATTGTGTGCTGGAAAAAAAACAGAGCTTGCACCAAGATTTATCCGTTCCACTTCGAATTTATATTTACCTTCACAGTACGTGTTGGTCTGTCCCTACGGTGAACCAGGATCGTCGGTCAACTATAAAGCCATGTACAATCTGACCCAATTGACCTTTTTTCGGCAGTTTATTCTGCGTCACAAAATACTGCAGTACCTTTGAGCACTACTAAATGAGCTCTTAGTTGATGGACACAGTTCCGTAGAGGAAGAAAGGCTGGACTTTATTAGAAGAAATCAATTACGCTATATTAACGAACAAGATCTGTTGTTCGATGAGACCATTCAAGCGGACGGCCCCAGCGACTCCAGTGGGACATACCTTCCAGAGAGCTTTCTTGGTTCAAAGCGGTCAAAACGTAAACGTATAGCCGAAGCTCTCGCTATTACATCACGCTATGGTAACCCTACGTTTTTCATCACAATGAGAGCCAATCCGAAATGGCCGGAGATTGTGGAAAAGCTGCATTCGAAACAAACAGCCACAGATCGGCCGGAAGTTACATTACAAGTGTTCCACGCAAAAAAATCGCAAATAACACGATCTGCCCATTTAATCCTTAACGGGAAAACTAAAATCTACTGCATCGAGGTAACTGAATTTCAGAAGCGGGGCCTTCCTCATGCCCATATAGCTTTGAAAGTCGAAAATGAACCTCACGACAATGAGCGGCATTGACCTTTTAACCTCTGCAGAGCTACCAATGCCGGAAGATGGAGATTCATACAATTTGGTCTCCACTTACATGATGCATCACCATACGCAGCGCTGCTACAAGACTGATTTCAAATCAAGCACAAAATGTAAGACTGTACTTGGTGGAAATACGTGTTACGTATCGTACATCTTTAAAATAATAAAAAATAATACTAAACATACTTTGATATTTTTTAGATGCCGGCATTAGTATCCTAAACCTGTGAACCCTTTTACCTATATGGATCACCGAGGAAATATACATTACCGGCGGCGATCTGAAAGGGACCAGTTCGTCGTACCTTATAATCCAAAGCTGTTACGGATATTTTGCTGCCACATTAATGTCGAAATCTCAAGTTCGTACCATATAATCATTTATTTATACAAGTACTTCTACCAATGTCCAGACTACACTAAGGGCAAAATTCTACTGAACGAAATAGAACAGTACATCAATGCGCGATACCTGTCAGCAATAGAAGCCGCTTATCGCATGTTTGAATTTCCACTAACTAAAAGATATCCGTCTGTCCGTTCCTGCCCTGTCCCTGTCCCGGGCAAGAAGTACATAGTTTACGAAAGGAACAGCAGGAGCGCAGCTCACGATTCAGTCTCATTGTTAGAACGCTACATGCAGCGACCAAAAGATGAATGCTTCGAGCAATTAACATATTTGCAGTACTACGAGAATTACAGTACCTGTACCTCCAAAACACGCCCGAAAGGACACTGCTGGAAAGATGAAGTTCTTTCACCACACAGTCACTACGTGACTAAACGAACTTCGGACCATTTCGCACGGATGGATATTAACCCGTTGACGGGCATTGGTGTCTGGAAACGACGTCCCGCTGCCGGTGAACGTCCCGCTGCTGGTGAAGTGTACTACCTTCGACTTTTGCTGTTGCACAAACCAGCCCGTTCCTTCTCAGAACTGCTGAAGGTGGATGGAACTGACACATGCTGAAGGTGGATGGAACACGACACATTTCCCGGTGCGGCAGTTGCGCTCGGTTTAACCGACCAAGATGATGAGTACAAGCCGGTCCGGAGTTAGAGCACGATAGAGAACAGCGAACAATGTAAATTAATGAGTTGCGCCAACTGTAGTGCAGTGGCTATCGACTAAGCTAACATCGCGCTTATTATGTGTTAGCTGTTCTTTATCGTGCTCTAACTCCGGACGGGCTTGTACATACTTTGTATAGAAGATGCTGTAAAGGCTTACCGTGATCCATATGAGCTAAGAACTTTGTTTGTTTTGCTAATCACCGAAGGAGCGCCAGCTCGTACAATCGATTCAAGGAAGAAATGCACCGCAATTTCCGAATTTTCGGCCAATTACAGACAGATCGAACTGAGCAAAAGTTATTGCAAGAAATCGGATTAAGACTTGACCATACTTCAAAGATATTAATGGATTTCGGACTTCCTGATGTATCTTATGACTCATCCAAGGCCTACAACATCGGAGTACAAAAGGAACGATCAGCACAGCAACAGGTCACCTTTAATAGCCAGCAACGTGTCACATTTAACACAATAATCGACTACGCTGTTAACGGAATACCTGGGTGCTTTTGTGTTGACGGTAGCGCTGGAGAAGTACGGGCACAAGTGTGCAAGTACGGGTTAAGAATTGGTACGAGTAAACGTACGAGTAGTCAAATAGGACTGCATTTTATTATTTTTATTGGTACCTAAGCAACAAACTGATACGGTGTACTACCTAATACTTTAAACTATTGCTCTGCAATAACTGCAGCTTTCAAGACTCCAAGAAATTCTACGCTGAATTTAAGTCCACGTACAACATGTAATAGTCGTGTACGTAAACGATACATTTATTGCAACGTAAACTAAATGATAGCGCTCCGTATACTACACTATCATACAACTTTTGTTTAATCACATAACATAAAAGATATTATACCGCAAAATATTGAGAACAAACCCAAACGCAACTTTTTCCCTTAAAACCAGTCCTTAAAGGTCATCACACAAGCATGGACTTCGGTATTTTCTCCTCTAATCCCAACAGCAAACCGGAATTCCAGAACTGTACTGTCCAGATAAAAGTAAGAAAACAGTTAATTTAATTCGGAAGTAATTCAATTAAAAGTACAGGAGACAGTTTTCGTTTAAACCTTTCTAACAATTACATTCCTATAAACAAAGTGTTTCGTTTTTGTAGGCCTGCGACGTCAAGGCCAATTACATGCTTATAACGCTGTGGGAGGGAGCAACTACCTTTCCAGCCAGGCTTACTGAAGAGAATAATCTTTCTCCTAAAGACCTAGTATACGCTCAAGTTCAGTTCGCCAGTGTTATACACTTATCGTAAGTGTACTGAAACATGAAGTTCCTCATTGCATTCAAATAAAAACGTTAAGATTACTTCCAGAGATCGCACAGTTGTGAAGAACAAGACAATTGCAAGAACTCCAGCTCAGTCTCAGTGTGCCTTAATTCCGTTACCAGATGACTTTGTGCATAAGATCCATCCTGTGCCTCCAACCGATACGATCCATGACTTTACTACTATTCAATCTGCAACATCTGATGATTACAGGAACACACACTGTAGGAGTACGCATAAATAACCTTACAAAGTTCAGATGAAATTATTCTTTTCCGTACAAAACAGGTTTATCTAAGCGCTGTTAATAGGAAAATTATACGTATCATATAATTTTAGTGTGATCCAACTGATCCTTATATCAATTAAGAAGCCCTACACCGCTTCAAATGGAAAGCAAATAGTTAACATTGTAGTCGGTGACCGGACAGGCACTATTAATGGTGCAGTATCGATAATGCCATCACCCAGCTTCATATTGCAAAGTACCAACCTGGCGACGTATGCGTTTCTGCCTATCATTTATATTGTAACACTAATTATACATTAGTACTTATTATATTATTGTCATTGTTTTTAGTTACTTCAATTCCGCAATGTATCCATCCGACCCAATCAAAAACAACACCAGCGCTGGGCGACATCGCAGCTCCAAATTAAATTCAACAACAACTCACGATCGCCAAAGTGAAAGGACAATTGCTACTACCGCCTCTTGCAGAGCTGGAAAGCTACTTAAAACGCCCAGCTCTAGCAAAAAGTCACAATTTTATTTGCCTAGAAATTTTCAAAGAGCTACTATAATATCCCATTAGGTTTCATGGCATTTTTCGATTCGGTTATCTCAGCAAAAGAACAGCAAGGAGTTACTGTTCTTTCGGTATTGGATTACAGCATTTCCGCCCCAGTAGAAATTGAAGTGGAGCTTCCAATGGTACACAAAAATTCTTCCATCAATTTATTAATAAATTTAAATACTCCTTACTAATAATCCTCTTTATTCACTTAGGCGGAACTTTTCAATGCATATAATGAAAAAAAATTTGCATTTTCCAAAACCTTTCAACTGAAAGCCGCAAACTGAGGTGCAAAAATCAAGAAACAATTATTTGGAGTTTGGATCGATACCGGTAAGGCAGTAAACTTAATAAAAATCAAACATTTGATAACTCCCTTGCTCCCGGTTTTTTTGGCACCTGGCGCAGAATCAGAGCCCGCACGAGCCCTCGTCTGCAATTTAATCGCTGCGAATTATCTGTACATTGACGATTAACACTTCCTCGACCATCTTTCTCCTGAAAAAATACAACCACCTACCAGCAAAAACAAATTCCCTTCTCGCACATCTTCGACTACCTCGACCGAAAAGAAAAAACAGCTGAAAGAAAACTACAAGCAAAATAAAAAACGCAAACCGCGCTCTCCAAAAACGATAAAGTTTTCTACTTATTTTGTACGGCAAAATTAATGTACAAAAATGTTTTGTACGGTAATTTAGTTTTCTACATAATTTTTTCATAAATCGAAAACACTCCGAATTCGAATAAAGTTAACTAAAATCTTACAAGGAATGGCAATTTTCAAAATTCTGTCAAAATGTGATCCAAGATCACAAGGAATCCGAAGGCGAAGCCGGAGGGCTTACTTGTACACCCTGTTCACGCCAAGTTGGCGGCATGGCATTCTGATTTTTTGCCAGATTATGTCGCGCATGTTTTCCAGATCTCTTTATAGTTTCTGGTGCAGTTTTTTTTTGCGCATTTAGTAAACAAAAATTCAATCGGTTTTCGATTGCGATGCCACGAGAAACACCTTCCGAAGCAAAGGCATCGATGGAATGAGTCATGGCAGTGCTGAAACACAATTCAATTCTGCCAGAAATTCAGGAATGACTTTAGGCGCTTGGAATTAAGGCCAGTTTGGGGATCCCTAAGAGAGTACTTCGTGAACAAAAACTAAAAGTCAACGGCTAGACGTAACCTGCAAATCGCCAAGGGGAGCAAAAACGTTTTTTCGCCAAAACAAGGCGCTCACTGAAAAAAGGGATGATGTCCATTGAAAACTGTTACAATGGAAGGTCGCGCGCTTATGCTGAAGATGCTAGTGAAAAAGGTAATGCCCAATACCTCGTGAATCGTATTTTGTGGTGATTGTTAAAGGAGGGCTTCTCTCGGCTGTATGGTGACCTCGCGAAGGAGGTCGTCCTACAGTCTGGCCACGCCCACCGTTATACCGGTACCCTGACCCAGGAGTAGCATCAAGTTAATGATGTGCAGTGCATCCCAAAGGGCCAATGGATGGCCAAGTCAACAGATTTGGCGTCTTTGGATTTTGTTATAAACGGGAATTTAGAACGAATTTTATGTTGGAGGGACGAAACCGCGACAGCTGAACTGCAGCGCATTTTGAAAGTGGTCTGCTCTAGTTTTAAAATTCCTGTAATTCATAACAAGCTCAAATCTGGGAAACTCCAGTTGCAAATGGTGTTGGATAGATTCAGTTATCACATTAAAATTTAACAAAGTAAATTTATGGACTAGTGGTTCATGGGAATTTTTTAAATGGATGCCGCCAACTTGGCGTGGACAAGGTGTATATACATATTATGCACTCATTTAAGTTTTTGGGCTACGCCTTTGTTGACCTATTGACTCTTGAAGATGAGATCATGATTTCATCGGCAAAAGTGCAAAATGATTCACAATTACCCAATGAAAATTAGACACTATCGCTCAAAAATTAGGGTATGAGGTACTACCCACCATCCAATACCATCATTAGCGTTACATCCAATATCCTCAAACGGTTTAACACGCGGCAAAGTGCCCTGTTGTTGTTTGCACTTTCTCACAGTTGCAATAGTTATGGTCCTTCCCCGCATTCCCTCATTCCATGCGGCATTCCATCCATTCAGCGGCCCAGCATTGCACAGTCAAAGCTATTTTCATCAAAGAATTGTGGTTAATAATCACTGAATATTGAAGACATAAGGACTCGTATAACACAGCTTTGAGTAAAAATTTTTCTGTTGTACATGTCGGATTTCATGTACAATTAAATGTGGCATTCAATTATGGTTAATTTACTTGAGCGGAAGTGATTCTTTTGTATTCTACTGGCGCTCATTGCTTAGCAACAGTCTTGTGGTGGGTTGTAGTCCAGAAACGTGCTTACAGATTGTCAAGTTATTCGAAGTCTCAGAACAGTTGCGGCTGCATCCTGAATTTATGTAGTTCTGGTTTGCATGGTTTTTTCTTTGCATGGTTTGAAATGTTGTGGCTAAAATTGTGCAGTTCTACGAACTTCAGAAAGTTAATGTGCAAATATTTCGATAATTTGTATATTACCGCCTGCGTGTCCTACGACAAATTTACGGACGTTCCTATTCACGTCGTTGTGATTGACGATCTATAAATAAGTTCCAGTTGTATATTCCTGCTTATATCTATATATTTCACATTTAACCGGTATATATTTATCTCTCCGCTCCCTTATCATTCTCTTGTTTTGCAATTATATTACTTTTCTGATGGCACCGCAACCTGACGTTCCAAACCGCGGACGCGGGCGACCACGTGGCACCGGTCGCGGAATTACGCGACGCAAGCGGCTTGCAGGAAGACGTGTGGGTGTTAGTCAAGGTGTCACAAAAAAGAAACCAACGGTGGAAGAAGAACTTGCTCAGTTAAAAAAGCAAATTTCCGACCTATCGACGTGGGTAGCGACCGTCTTCCCTGCTGCTGATGATAGTGTCCGATCCTTCTCACCAGGAACTCGCAAGATTCGAATCCAGGATGCCGGCAAAGTAAATGCACCGCAGCTCCACCTACGGGACATGTCTCCTGTTTCCGATCCAGGTAAAGATTTCAATACAGATGGCGCTACTGAGATCGAATTCATTGGTACTAGTAGTGCTACAGCCGTAACCCGAAAAGCTGCAGCAGTACTTGAGGCTTTACCGCAGAACGTTAAGAGTCTCCTGCTACCAGTTGAAAACACTCTGCTGCCGAATCTGTTCAGAAAAAAGGAATTCGTCCATCTTCCCGATCTACTACTGCTCAGCTGTGCTCCTCAAGTGCCGTCTACATAAAAAAATCCAGCTGGTAAAAGCGTGCAGATTCGAGACTTTAATCAGTGGATGAGAGCGTTTTCAGTGCTGAAAATGTATCGGTGTGCCATATACCCTGAGCTGGACTTACCCATGATGAAGTACGTAGACCACATCGCGCAGATAGCGGCACTGAAAGGAATCTCTACTGACCAGTGGCTTGCCTACGACCGGCAGTTCCGGCTAGCTGTGTGCCGTAATCCGGACGATGCAATGCAGTGGGCACGCAGAAACGATGATGCTTATACCAAGTATTTAATGCAACCACTTGGGCATGACGCTGGTCAACCCACAGGCGGTGTAGTGAAAAATACTGTGGTTCAGTGCTATAATTGTTTAGAATTCGGACACATCAGACCTGAATGTCCGACATTGCACAACAGCACCAGCAACCGTCGTTCTTCATGGGTTGGGCAGTCGTTTCTCAGCCTCCCTGCTGGTAGCGGGGGAGCAAAAGTTGACAAAGTGTGCCACCTCTGGAATAAAGGTCACTGCACTGCCGGTTTGTTCTGTCGATATGGTCGTCAACACCGGTGCGCCAACTGTCGCCAACGTGAACACCGCGATTTCCAGTGCAAATCAAAAGCAAGCAACAGTGCCCAGTAATATCATCACACCGTTGAAAGCTGAAGCTTTTGCAAGCCACCTCAGCGAACACATAGATCAGGAGTACGTCGCATATATACTGCACATATTACGACACGGAGCAGATATCGGCTATTGTGGCCCTAATCGAAGCTTGTCCACGCCTTTAGCCGGCAAACATGTTGGCCTGTTGACTGTTGGCGAGCCCGGCAGGAAAGTGGTTTTCCTCCCATAGATCTGCCGAAATGCGCCCACACTTCTGCCGACCCGACCCTATGCATTGCCTATGGGAACTCCAATAGATCAGCCGAACCGGCGCAACAGTGAACTTGACACTTCTAATGAGCGCGAGCAGCTGCTGTATGCATAGCGCGGGCAGCTGCAACATCAGATGCAGCTGCCTCGGCACACTTTATCGACAAATGACGACAATAAATCAGAGAAGTGCGCGACCTGTATTAATGTCAAGCTTAATTTTTGCCAACTACAGATAGGTGAGTTTGTTTGTTACTGTGAACTGTGAAGTGTTCTAATTAAGTTCTAATTAATCTCACAGACTAAGCAAAATAAAATTGTATATTACTGTTTATCCTTTGTCTTTTCTTAAAATTTTTTATGATATAAAAATTAATAGTTAGCCTTGCTTTGCAAGGCTAAAATTAAACCCCCAAAACATCAAAGTATTTCGGAAACAACTTTACCACCAATAGATTGGCCGCACTGCGTCAATAGCCCTGCCGACCCGATACTATGCATTATTGTCTATGGTAACTCCAATAGATCTGCCAGACAGGCGCAAAAGTGAAATTAGAAATTGCGCTCATTAGAAGTGTCAAGTTCACTGTTGCGCCGGTTCGGCTGATCTATTGGAGTTCCCATAGGCAATGCATAGGGTCGGGTCGGCAGAAGTGTGAGCGCATTTCGGCAGATCTATGGGAGGAAAACCACTTTCCTGCCGGGCTCGCCA